TATATATTAATAAAATCTCTAGATTTTCAGCTTTATTTTGATATATTTTTTATTAATTTCTATGCAGTAGTTTTTGAATAATGAATAAATAAAAAATTCCAAAAAGTTTTGTTACACTGTATATGTCTAATATGTTTGATTAAGTTGCTTAAGTTATCCAGATTTCTCTGATCAATCAGGTTAATCTGATATGTTAGTCATATTTAACAGAAATGTCATATTTATCTAATATACTAGATATGCTATATACTGTATGTTAAATAATTAATAATAAAAATAATGAAATAATATAATACTATAAATAATAATCTAAAAATAGTACTATTAATAATTATAACAATATAAAGGATTTTATGCAATTGTAATTTTTGTAAATTGATTATTCAAAAGAGTTATTTTCTGTTTAATATACATTTTTGTCATTATATCAAGTTACAAAAATATTTTTAGCAATATTTTTTGTTTTTATGAATTGTCAAAAATAATTGTATTAAATAGAAATATCAAATTTATAATTGTTTTTAAAATATTTTTTCAAATAATTAAAAACAAAACTTGTAATATTAATTGTTTTTTACTTATAAACTTTTAAACAAACTAAAAAAATAAATTGAATTTTAAAGAAAATATTACAAGTTTATATTATATACAAATAGAATTAATAAGATAAATATTTATTTGCTACTAAGTTTATATATAACAATTTAATTTATTATTCACTAAACATATTATTTGAATTTGATTATAAATAATATTTTATTATATCAGTATTATTTGTAATTAAAATTATTAATACATTTGCTATAAATAATTTTGCTCAATACTGAAATAATAAGATTCAAATAGTAAAGAAAGAATACTTTAATGATTGCACAAAATTGAAAAGAATTATATATTAATCAAAATTTTATCATATTATATATAACATTGAAGATAAAGTTCTTTTGTTAACACAAAAAATTAATAATCTTGTGGATAAAAATTGATTTATAAGAAAATTTATATCAATATATCTGAAATTATTTAATATTACCATTGTTATCTTATCAATTGTATATAAATTAAATCTATTTGTAGCAATAAAAATATATATTATCTTTTATATCTTAATGTTAAAGCTATATAAGAAGTTGTCAAATAAGTTTTTATATATTGTATTACTATTATTTGTTATTATATCTAAATTTGATGAATTAAAATATAAAGTCAAAATTATTTTAAACAAGTAAATCAATTAAAAAAAAACATAATACTTGATTAAATAAATAAGATATTTATTATATAATACTATTTGAAAACCTGAGAAAAATTTGAAAAATTCTCAATAATTGATTAAGAAATTTGAATTGATAAAAACATCGAATCTTAAAAAGAAAAAATATAATAATTTGGATTTTAATCTTTTATTTAATCTTGGATATATGTTATAATTGTCAAAGCAATTGACAATCAAAAACCATATAAGTTTTATAAAAAGGTAACAGATATTATTAATAGTATTTATACTAATGTTGCTATATGAGATTAACAAGGGGTTATAGATATATTTATTTGTTATATAAAAAGTTTTATTTATTATTATTATTATTATTTATTTTTTGTTTTTATTTATTATGTTGTTATGCATATATCTTTTGGAATATTAAGCCTTATATAGATATATGTATAGTATTTTATGTATTTTTATTTTAATTATTTATTTGAAAAAGGTTGTAATGTTGAAAATATATTTAATAATACTTTTTTTAGTTTAATAAAGTCAATTAATAATTTTATAACCATAAAATTATCTTGTTCATACCTAAAATATTTAATAAAAGAATTTTATTTTTGACATTTATAGCATGCAAGGTCAAGGATTATAATTAACTATATCAGCAATCAAGATTTATAATACTATTATATTAATAATATTAAAAGAAAAAAAATACTTTTGTTAAGTATTTTTTATTTGTATTATTTTTAATTATAAATGTTATTTTAAAGATATTTACTATACTTCTAAAAAAGTATACTTTAGATTATGATTATTGCTTTTTTTAATAAATCATTTAACAATTAATTATCAAAATATATTTTTCAATTTTTCTAAATAGTTATAATGAATATCCAAATTGGTTAGAATGCTATTCTTGCCTAGTGCTTTGACTAGTGCTTTTACTTTTATCTAAATTATTAAAGTTGATATTTAAATTAGTCAGAGTGGTATTATTGTACAGTTTATTGGCAGTGTTTTTTTTTCAGACTCCTAAATTATATACTCTGCAAATTTAAACTGGTCAGTATAGTATTTTTGTACGGTGCCTCGTTCAGTGCTTTTCTTCCAATTCTAAATTATTATAACTGATATATAAATTGATCAAGGCGATGTTCTTGTATGATGACTTGGTTAGTGCTTTTCCTTCCAACTCTTCTAAATTATTGCTTTGCAAATTTAAAGTTGGTCAGGATGGTATTCCTGTTAATTCCTTGGCTAGTGCTCTTACTGTTTATTTTTCTATACTACTGTTGGAAATATCTAAATTTGTCAAGTAGTATATACAGTATATTAACGCCTTTCCTGCCACATAATCTGATATGTTTCTACTTAATCCTCTGATGCTCATACATGGTTTTCATTTCTTAATAGATAAAATTATTCGCGTTATGCGTTGGCTGATTTTTTTTGTTAATATTTAACAAATTGTCTCAAATAGTATATCATATAAGTGAGTCGCTAATATTTTATTTAAAATAGTAAAAAATATCGTTAATTAATATCCCCATATTTGAGACATGTAATAATACTCGTCACAAAAAATTAATATCTCGACGAAAATTTTTATGATAGAGAATTAAATTTTAGTTAATTGATCTTAAAATCAATTCCATTTATATTTAATATCTAGATATTATAGAATTTAATTATTGGTTACACTCCTTATACAGTATATTATTTATAATATTCTAAGTTTATAATACCTTCCAAGGACCTTCTATCTTATTCAACGAATAAAATATTTACATGTTAATCTTATTATTAAGCTAATTTTTAATAAATTACATTTATATAAATACTTACCGTGTGATATAATTATGGAATTTAAAAATCTACTTGTACAATACGATTTGAAGTTTCCAACGTCAGTATTTTCTTTGATTTTTCTCTCTTCTATTAAATATTTTCGATATTTCACGGCAGAAACAAAGCTCTCTTTATTAAATCTTCAAAACTGGTGGTATCTTCTGTAATACCGAGTTGCAATCCATCGATAGTATCTCGTATAAGAAAAAAAATCATGCCCTCTATCTTTAAATGGTCGATGAACTGACGTAAGTTCCCACATTGGCATCCCAAAGCTATACACATCGGATGCTTGAGTAAACCGATATTCTTAAATACTTCGGGTGCTAAATAAGGTATCCCACCGAATATTTTTTCATTATCAGAAGTTTCCCTATTTTTGCATAAACCAAGGTCGACTATTTTAATAGAACCAGAAACACCGTTTACTCCTAATAGAATATTTCCTGAATAAATATCACAACCAATCAATCCACTTTTATGGATTGCTTCAAACCTAGTGTAAATAAACGTTAATTCTAATTAATCAAACAAGAATTGAATTTACACGTAGATATCTACCCTTCTGTAATATAACTAAACTTTTCGACCTTTTCTTTCCATGCGATTCCTTCGAAATATTTTGATAATTATTGATGCATACTTCCATCTGCGTATTCTAACACCATCAAAACATTCGCAAACCCACGACCTAGCATTTCATTGGTTAATAATAGTATTTTTCATGAAACATAACTCCGCTATTCATTGGTTAAGATACTAAAAAGGAAATGACACGACGCGTTAAAAGGAGAGCAAAACGAAAAATTTTTTTTTAACTTTGCTTTATCGTTATTTACATTTCTATTATTTTTTTCAAACATCCATAATGTCAAACTTGGTGTCTCAAATCGAAAATTTTTTATTAAGCGGACCTTTAGACGCTATTTGTGGAGCAAGCGTAGTTTATTTAGCTATGAGCGACAATAATGTAGATAGGTATGAGGAGATCAGAACTTTAGCAGACCATGCCGTCGATTTAGCTATAAAAAAAATACTTGATGATGAACGAAAAGTAAAGGTCTTGGAAGTTTTACCACAGGTTAGTAACGAAACGCGTGTGAATATTGCGTTGTTTATGAAATGTGATCACAAATCTTACTCATTTTATTAATTATTTTACTGTAGTTGAAGAATGGATATAGAAGTATCGTGGGTCTAAAAGCGATGAAAGTATTGAAAAAGGCGAAAAAAAACAACCATTGGTCACTCTTGAGAAAAGATGGAACAGAATATGAGGGCATTACAATCGAAACTTGATTCATCACAATTATCGAATTCAGATTCATCTCTTTATGACGCCCTCAAGAAAAATTTTGAGGATATCAATACTTTGACCTTACATGGCAAGAACCATTAGCAAACATGGTCATTAGTAATGATTCAACTTTGGTGGAGAACTTGAGACCAAGACAGAAACGCACTTTTATGGTATGACTATTTCTGTTTTGATTTATAACAAAATAAGTTTACCTATTTTTTATTTTTTATTAGGAACCATCTGAAAAAATGAAATGCGTTATTCCAGCATCTATTAATTCCAAGTGTGAAGATTTTATAAAATATTTTTAATGAAATATTATTCCGGATGAATTTAGATACACCGTCTCCCAAAAGGAACTCAACTCTTAATTGTAGATCAGATCAAATCAAATCATGGCGAAATTAATAGTATATACAATGTATCGTTTACTCTAATCAGTGTATACAGTAAAATAGTGATTAAGGTAACAAAAAAATTATGATATACTGTTATTAATAAAAATTTACTGTTGTAAAAATAAAAATCTACAAAAATCTATTTAAGCTTCTTATAAATCAAATGTCCTCAAAACAACTATCTATAGAAAAGAAATCAAGGTTATTATTATATTATCTTATTAAAAGAAGGTTATAGTTTATGTCAGTTTGCTGCCAAGCTTGATAACAATAGTTATTATTCCATCATATTTAGACTTAAAAAATATCTTGAAATAAACAAATTTAAAAACAAACCTATTTTTGATTATTCACTTAAACTTATTCTACATGAGGAATGTATTATTATCTGAAAAATTCTAAAAGGAGAATAAAAAACAGTTATTAATATACAATGTATTAAGAAAGACTTTGGACATATATTTTTTACTATAATTTAATAAATAATTATTTAATTTTTAAAAATTTTTAACAATTTATTTTTTATAATACAATTAATAAATTTATTATAAAATATTAATTTAAAATAACAAATCAAGTATGTCAAAATTTATTAACTAATTATATATAAAAATTTGTATATTAATAATTATAGAAAATATGTTTTTAAAAAACTCTCTCCTGATCGTATCCATTTTGTTAAAAATTTTCCTTTTATAATAATTTTAAGCAAGAAAAAATGTTTTACACTCTTTATTGCAAGTGAACCCCAGCTCAAGAATTCAAGAACTTTCAAGATAACTGGTGCAGTGGGATGGGACCTCTGGTCGAAGTCTACTTAAGTTTGAGAGTCTTGCTTATCCTTCGGTTGCATAAGAAAAGGCCCATGGCAGTTTTCTTCTCTTTTGTTTTCTTGTACCCCTCCTTCTTTCTATTATATCATTAAAACCATCCATATCAATACCATTATACTCGCTAAACCAAATATCTTCCAAAAAACACATGCAAATAATATTGTTGGATCTATTGGTTGTTTTAACACAACCTTCACATACAATCTTACCATAACGCTACTTACTGCGTCATTTCAAAATTTCCAAAATTTTTTTTCCAAAAAACTGAAATCTGTTTACTCCTTCAGATAATCGTCGCTTTCCAATCATCCAATCAGATTCCATCAAAACAACAAAGAAAAAACTGAACTTGTTTAAATTGGTTTTTTAACATCACAACAATAACAACAACTATTACAATAACAAACAACATTAACTATACTCTACTATCCATGTCAACAAGGGTTATGTCTCTAAGATCAGCACTGGTACAAGGGCTGGACTATTGGCCACCTTTTAGATATTTTTTTTGTTTATATAAATTTTATAGTTTAGCGACTTAGTTTTAATTTCAGTACCTATAGTTGTTATTTTCTTTTTATTTATCTAATATTCAAAAAATTAAAAGATTTTATCAAATTTTATCAAGTAGATAGACATAGCTGCTACTTCACTATCTGACATTTTAATATTGCTTTTGAAATTTTTTATAATATTAGTTAGATAATGATCAAGTAAACAAGCTAGCATTTAACTTGTTATATGCAATATGTACTTAAAAGATGTTGTTTTTTTCTCAATGTATATATATTTAATATACAATAACAAATAAAGAAATAATGTTTACCTAACAAACTCTTTCTCAATCGCATCAAAATTACCAAATTAGGAAACACTCAAGAAAACAAAAATTTCGTCTCAAGGAAAAA